ACAAGAAGCCACGTGTACAAATGGCGATGGAAACATTTATCATAGCAAATTTTAAAGGAAAAAGACAAAACTATTTATCAGGGGTTGAAAGGATAAATAGACAGTGGTTTATTGGTAAGCCGCAATGCTCTACAGCAGTTACAATGAATGAATTATGGCTAGGTGTGTCAGCATGGATAAAAACCCCCAGACTGAATGTTGGACAAAATAATCATGCTGCAGAATGTATATCCTGTATGGTAACATTTACGTGAATCCAAAAACACTCCAAAAGATGATCAAGCATTTGTGCTCCTAAACAACATATAAATGTAGTAGTGGGTATATGATTGGGCATCTTGTATTTTTCTGTGTTCTGGAAATAATTCGTAACGAAAGACAAAGAGCAAGAGAGAGGGAGATACAAACATGTGCATGCCCGCGCACACACACACACACACACACACACACACACACACACACACACGGCAGTGGAATAACCTTCTGGAACTGCAGGAATCTGAGCCCAGAACAGAAGCTGGGAGCCCTGTGGCTGGGCACTTCTCACGTGCTGCCTGCCAGGTTAGCTGTGTGTTCTGAGCCATTCCAAATGGTAACTGGCATCGTGCCCGGCCTATGGCGGGTGCCCCATGCATGTGTGTGAAGTCTCCAGGTTTCAGGACATTTCAGCGTTAGGAGCTTAGCGTCAAGATGTCAAGCTTTGGGAAACTAGCTTTAAGTTAGGGGAAATGAGCCTGCTTCCTCTGAGAGACCCCGCCGGCAGATGTCTGGAGGCACAAGGTGGAGGATGGTCTGCCTTCCTGTCAAAGCGACTTCTGCAGGCACAGCTGGCTCTGGCAGTGGTGCTGAGGCCTCTCTGCCAGCTGCCCCTCACCCCAGGTGAAGGGGGCCCACAGAACTCTGTGGTCAACGCGGTGTGTGGCCTCCATGCTGGAAAGGGCAGAGCCCAGGCCTCCTTTGGTCCCAGGGCTCAGTGGCTCCTTGAGGTGTCCTCACCGAGTGAGACGTGTTTCTGCTTGCCTGAATGAGCGGCAGCTGCCCGAGGAGCAGAGGAAGCTGAGCCGTGGCGTATCCTGTGTTGGGAAGCCCTAACCCTGTGCAGCCACCTTTGGAAGACAGCAGAGTCAGTGGGACTCGGTTGTGCGGCTTGCAGGAGGAGAGACTGTGCATCCTGCTAAGTACGCTGCCTTTGATGAGGGTTATTTGGACGCGGGGAGGAAGTTCGTTGTGACACCAGTCATGCAGGGAGCCCTGAGAGTTTAGCTCTTATAAGTAAGATGTTTGCTATATATAGCATGAGGAAAAGTTGCTCTTTGGAAACAGCTTAGTGCTGTGCTGGTGGGATAATCAGATTTCAAGTCCAGAAGGGGCCTTACGATTATCTGAGTTAAAGCTGTTGTGTTGATGATAGAAGGGGGCTTGACAAAGATTCTCTTCTTGACCAAGCTCTAGTCAGGACCCTCCGAGCTCTTTTTCAGCTAGGCCCTGTCCTCGGATATGTCCTCAAAGAGCCCATTTTTAGCAACAGTTCTGCTAAGTGAGTTTAGCCAGGATCCCCCCAACCCCTTGCAGTATCTCATCATACTCAACATCTGATCAAATTCCTCATCCTCCACCATCCCCCAGGGGACGTCTGACCACCCTGACCTGCCTTGAGTGAGAATCCTGTCGGGTCGGCTTAGCAAAGAATTTCCCTACCTTAGTAATGTTCTATCCACTGACTCCCACCCTTCTCTTTGGCTATAAATTCCCACTTTTTCCTTGTTGTATTTGGAGTGGAGTCCAATCTCCCTCCTCTGCTTCAAAACCTCACTGCTGTGGTCCTTGTACCTATTGTAATAGTCCTGAATGAAGTCTGCCTTTCCATTTTAACAAGCGTCAGAATAATTCTTTCTTTAGCAGGCTTAGAGAATTGACCTTTCCAGGGTGACACTTTGAGTACATTTCAGAATCACTCTAGACTCTAGATTTCCAGATTCCAAGTTCAATTTTCTTTTTCCACCCAGTGCCATCTTTATGCCTTCAAGAGTGTAGAATCAAGAAGCAATTTGTTCTATAAAATATTTTATTTGTATTAAGAAAAATACACTGCTGACAGTCTGTAGAGATTATGGTGTGTCTTCTCCCCTGCCCTGGGTAGGATAGGAGGTCAGAGTGATTGGTCATTTCACCTTAATTCTAGTGTCATTTAACTTAATTCTAGATCTTTCCCTGGCACTAAAAGACCTTACCATTCTGCAAGTTGTATCTGAAGTATCTGAAGTATCAGGTGTGTTTTCTAGGTGTGGCTATCTGTGGAGCTACCACTAAACGTTAGCAGTTGGTCAGGAACTTGTGAGTGGGTTTGGACAGGTTCAGTCGTTCATTCACTCTTGCAAATAAAGACAAAGCAAAACAATACAAATATCAGTACATTCAGTACTTGCTTTGTACCAGGCACGGTGCAAGGCATTGGGTTGTTATAAGAAATGGCTTTTGCCCTTAGGAAGGTATAGTCAAGGGCAAAGTCTCAGGTTAAAAATAGCATGATCACAATAGGATAAATGCTAGAATAGAAATATGTACAAGGTGGTATGAGGACACAAAGGAAATGGTGATTAATTTCCCAGTGAGAAAGTTGGAAGGAGAGTGGTATTGGAGTTGAGTGTGAAGATTGCAGAGAAGTTTACCAAGTAGAGGAAATAGAGGCTGGAGGTAGTTCAGGCAGAAGGGAATGATGTGCCAGAAATGGAGGCCACAAAAATGCAGGACATTCAGGGAAGTTGAATGAGGCTGGACAGCAAGGGGCAGAGGAGCAAGTGGCTGGAAATAGGTCTAGTAAGGGAAGTTATAACCAGATTTTCCAAGACTAAGCTTGGAAGAAAACTTTACTGTGTGCAGGCAGTGGGTAATTACTACCACGGAGTGAGGTGGACAGATCTGTGTGGTTGATATATAACCTAATGACAGCATGGAGACTGGTGGGAGGGGGAGAAGGCTGAAGAAGAGCGTCCAGTTGGGGAATCGTTGCAAAAACGATGATGTGTGAGCCACAGCGTTGGAATGAGAATGGGAAGATCGGGGGTCTAAGTTATTTAGGAGATAGAATCATTAAGACTTGGGGACTGAGCTGGGTTCGAGAGATAAAGGCAAGGATTTCTCCCATTGGCATTGAGTCCTAGTGCCTAAGGTAAACAGGAGACAGAAGATAAGAAGTCAGTTTGCGGTAGGGGGGGAGGTGCTTGAGTATTAAAGTTAGCATAACCGATGACCGCGTGGGGCCTGCAGCCTAGGGAGGGATTAGAAATACTGATTTTTTTTTTTTCAATAAACGGGCCAAGCGTGCATGATGTGTAAGACCTGGTTCTGTATGGTTTGGGGAAAGGAGAAGTGAACGTCCTTTGTATTTTCATTTGTTTTTTGACATTTCAGAATGCCTACATCCTGTTCGGAGGTTTCCCATGTGTTGTATTTTTGCATCCTCAGAAATGCCTTGTGAGATTAAATTATCCCCATTTTTCCAAATAAGAAATTTGAGGCTCCAGCAGGTGAAGTAACCTGCACATGGTCATGTGACCAGGGAGCTGCCCATCTAGGAAGTAACCAGAGATTTTGCTGTGCCCCAAGTTCATGTTCTTTCCTCTCCCCATAGCGTTCTCTGAAGTTCCGTGTCCTTGAGGAGCTTACACTGTGGTTGGAGAAACAGAACATAAGGAAACTCATCATGACGATATGGGGAAATGAAAGGGGCATGTACAGTGTGTGCCTTGGGTGTACAACAGATGGGGAACTTTGTTCTGGTGCAGAGGAGAAATGAGTGGCAACCAGGGAGAGGGCCAGTGAAGCCTTAACCAGAGGTAAGGGTGGGTATTTAAGCCGGGCCTGGGACATGGAATTTGCCAGGTTGGATGGGGGTGGAGACAGTTCTTAAAGGTCATCACAGAGCTTGGCTGCTAGACTTATAAAGCTAATCTGTGGGCCAAGGCAGAAGCAGATTAGAGTTAGAAGGTAGGTAAAGGACCAAGGAAAGATAGGGGCAGGTAGTTACTAGGGGGACACAGGGCCGGCGTCGGAAGGCAGGCACCCACGAGGTCACTTCACCGTAGAGAGAATGAATGGGCCTCTGTGGCCTTCTGAAGCTCCAGTGGGAGAGGTTTCCTGAGTCTGGCCAAGGGAGGCGATGGCAGAAAGGGGGTGAGAACCTGAAGCTCCTGGTGGGCTGAAAAGGGAGGGAGGTGTCTGGGACGGGAGTGGGGAAGCAAAGCGGGAGCAGCAGGGGTTTCGGCTACTTGAATCCATTGTCGGTACTCGCTCTCCCTCCTGCTCTGTGGAAAGGCGGGATGCAGAGGAAGGAGCCTGTGGCTTGGTTGGCCCGCCTTTGTTCTCTGAGCCCTGACTCGTGGTCTTGGTACGAGGTCAGAGCCCTGGAAATTGGGCCCCAAGGAGGGGCGGGTGGCCAGCAGGAGCGTTGGGGATGATGAGCTATCGGCAGCAGTCCAGTGTCGCTGGCTCTTCCCCCTGACACACCATCGCTCCCCATGTAAAGCCTCAGACTCTGCCGGCTGCGGCCCGATTTGGCCGTCGGACGCCACAGCTCCTGGATACAGTGCTTCCTGCCCTTCTGAGGGGCCCTTGGCTTCAGACTCAGTGGAAGGGCGTGAAGCTGGTTGTACCCAGGGACCTCAGGAGAAGGTCCCTGCAATGCCCCGCGGGGACAGAGGGCTGATTGTGGCAGGTGGCCTGGCTCCCCGGCAGCTCCTGTCACTCGCAGCCGCCCAGGAAGGTAGGTTTCTGAGAAAGGCTGGGAGCAAAGGGCAGCGAGCTTAGGTAGTAGGCAGCTGCATCAGTCTAACTGCTCTTCTAAAATTAATGGGGCCTTTTATCTCTGAAGAACAACTTTAAGCACTCGTGTGATTTGGGAACAAAGATGCAGGTCGGGGGAGAGCTGGGCTCCCCTTGAAACACAGTCCCCCATTTGGTAAAACAATCTCTCCCTTTCTTTCTTTCTCTCCTACCTGCAGATCAACGGATTACGGCGCCACCTATGAAAAGCTCAATGACAAAGTGGGCTTGAAGACTGTCCTCAGTTACCTCTACGTCAATCCCACCAACAAAAGGAAGGTGAGAGGGGGTGGTCAGTGGGTCCTGGGCATTCGCTGCGGAGTGGCAGGGCTTCCAAGGCCTAGGAGTTAAGGAAAAAAACCAGTAGCCGTGGAGTCACTTACAGAATGCCTATTTTATATGCCAAGAACACCACAGACATTGTAATTCTAACAACTGCCTAGTAGCAATAATAATAATAACAACAATAACAATAATAAAACTACGTAAGGGGTTCCTCGCAGCCAAGGATGGCGGTGTGTGCTTCACATACCTTAGCTCATTTATCCTCACAGTGAATCTCTGGGGTAGAAATGACTACTGTCCCCATTTTACAGATGAAGAAACTGAAGCTCAGGGAGATTAAGTAACTGTCTAGCCTAATGCCAGACAGTAACAGATAACATGGAGCAACAGATCTGGGATTTGAAAATGGTAAATGGTTCTGCTTGACTCCAGAGATGAGCCCTCCTACAGCCTCCTTTTTGCTGCTCTGTTTTCAGAGAGCTCCTTGTAAAGAGGGAGTCGGTTTCCTCCAAGGGAAGGATAGGCAGCCCCTGGATTCTTCCACTTGCTCCAGAGCTCCTTCTGAGGCCCAGGGGAGCACACTGGCTCTGCTGGCCTCTTCTTTTCTGTCTTTCCTCTTCACTTAACAGCCAGGACATGGGTGAAATCATATAAGGTCAGACTTTGGTCACTGAGACCTCCTGGGAGGAGGGGGCCTGGGATGATGGATGGTTTTAGAAAATAAATGCTGTGTCCCAAAGGGTTGTCATTTCCCCATTTTTCCATATTGTTATTTGAATTACTGAATGTTAGAGCTGGAAGGGATCATAGATTTCATCGATACAAGCAGTTATTTGTAGTTTTTGAACTGCAGTCTTCTGCCAATGTGATTAAAGCTCTAGAGCTCCCCTCTGGACACATGCCCCCCAAATTTTGCAAACAATTTTTAGGTGTTTAGGAACACCTTGAATCCCCCCTCTGGACCCAAGATGTCCACGGAGTCTTGGTTGAGAATCTTTCATCTATACCAATAGTCTCAATTCCCAGATGAGGAAACTGAAGCCAGAAAAGGCTCCAAAGCCAGGTACGGAATGGAGCCAGTTAGAGCTCAGGACTCCTGATGCTCAGTATAGGTTTCTTGGCTTCAGCCCAGGCTCTGCTCCTTTTCCTCCTGTATAGTCACAGCCCCGTGCTTGAAAACTCATGGTCTAGTCCTGACCGAGGAGGTTGAGGCAGTTGCTTCATGGCCTTGAATTGAAGCCACGTCCATGATGGACACATGATAAGACTTGACTGAATCAAGTCAGCCATGATCTATCTCCACTCTTCCTCTGCCTTCTCCCTTCATTAGGAAGGAAGCTGAAGCCCACAGAGGACAGATGTCCCACCCATGTCACTCAGCTGGTCAGCGGCAGGATGGGCAGTTGGTTTTTAACTCCCAGTGACTTGGGGTCAGGTGGAATCATAGGGGGGTGTCTGCACTCTGGGAGAAGCAAGAAGCGGGTATTTGACACATGGCAGATGTCCTTTAGCATTGATCTCTGACCTATGTCTGGACCACAGCAGAATTAATCACATCTTCATGTAGGTGACAGATCAGCTGTCTTCATGAGGATTTTCCCAAGGGGCACGTGAAGGGTCACACCTGTTGGCATCCATTCTGGTAGTCATCTGTCATGTATGTTTCCCATCGGACTCCTACTCATAACATCTCTTTCAGTCTTTTTTCCATTTTTCTCCATCCTGACTGTTTTATCTCTTCTTAGTATGATCTAGAGGTGCTCAGTAGTGTGGGAGACAAAGGGCAGGGTAAGGCAGATACTCAGGGTTAGAAGGATCATAACGCCGGGATTTGGAGCCCACTGGTGCAGAAGTGCACCTCCATTTCTCCTTCCCAGAGGTGATGTTCAGACCATGGGCTCTCTGGAGCACTTCCTCACAGGAATCATTGCCCAGTTGACAAAAGTGAGGCTGTTTTGCATGTCTTTTCAGAGAAACACCACCAAGACACAGTTAAATCCCACCTTAAGAGGCACTGCCGGGCTTCCCTGGTGGCGCAGTGGTTGAGAGTCCGCCTGCCGATGCAGGGGACATGGGTTCGTGCCCCGGTCCCGGAGGATCCCACATGCCGTGGAGCGGCTGGGCCCGTGAGCCATGGCCGCTGAGCCTGCACGTCCGGAGCCTGTGCTCCGCAACGGGAGAGTAGGCCACAACAGTGAGAGGCCCACGTACCACAAAAAAAAAAAAAAAAAAAAAAAGAGGCACTGCTGCCCAGAAGGTTAAAAGTGCAGACATTTTCTTCACTCAGATAGGGAACAGACAAAAGATAGACTAATATCACGGATTTGTTTATTTATTTATTTTGGAAATACCAATAGACATTAATTTCATAAGGAGACTGTGTGCTCCTGAAGGACTTTCTGAGTCATCCGAGGAGAGATGAAATTAGATTCTGTTTCATTTGGTGTCTTTGATTGTATTCTGAGCCTTGGGGTGCTGATGGTGCACAAATATTCTACCTCGTGACTTTCTCTTAACTAGAATATTCAAGTTCACTAGACTGTGCTTCTCAAGCCGCTCAGGCAAACTGACAGTTAGATGGAAATGAAAACACTCTTATTTGTTTCTTTATTGGTCTGGTACTCTGGGCCATTATGACCTTGTAATGAAACTGTTTTGGTTTTTTTTACGTGTCCTGCTTACACGTCTTGGAGTTTAAACCTTTGGTCACCTGGATTCTCATCTGAGCTTGAATTAAGCAGGATTCTTTTGGTTCTCAAAGCATTCAAATGATCGGTAGCTGCCCATGTTCATCGACCAGCTCATGGAAGTCGTCTGCAGCAGATTTTTCAGTTCATCTTGTCAAAACACTTGCTTTTCACCTCAGGAGTTACTTATGTGACAGGTGGCTACTGCTTTCCTTGGAGGCTATGAGTACATCAGAGTTCTGTCACCCCTAGCCAAACAGTAGAGTGTGCTTGTATTTATATAGTTGTTCCCAAAGCTAATTGTTGATGTCTTAACACTTTTTTGACAACATAAAATCTCCACATGTAGATAGCTAATAAGCGATTAGGTTGAAAGTAGAAGTGGTTAACATGTGTACAGTCTCCTACTAGTAATAACCTTAGTTAGCGTTAAATATGCTTGGATTCCTTTTAGAAGCTTTATCTATATAATTTATCTATATAAATTATCTATATAATTTTATCTATATAATTGCCAGTCGTCCCAGGCACTTTAGAAGGCAGGCAAGATAAGGAAACAGCCTCTATGTAAATCACACCAAGCTTGTTTTACCTATAAATGGTGAGACTGCAACAATCTTTCCAAGAGGTTTATTTGGGGGACAAATTAGGATACATCTGGCAATGCTGGACTCCCTCAAGGAAGCTGAGATTTAGATTAGTGGTGTCTACTAGTTTTTTTTCCAAATTAGAGTATTGATATGAAGGGCTGGGTGCTACTTGAGTTGAAGTGTTCTAGACCATCCTAAGGTAGGGGGCATCAGCGTTATTTTAATGGCGTTGACCTGCCCCACTCGTATTTGATGTGATTCTGCATCCCTTGCTGTTTGCTTTTCTCTGGCCACTGGCCAGTTAGCCCATCGCCTGGGTGATGTCTGCGTCTGGCACTTTGAACACGAAGAGCACTGCTCTTCGTGTTCCCCATGTGGATGTGAGGCTCGCCTCCGGAGGAGGGCTCTGCTCACAGCCTCCCCTTCCCTTTGCAGGAGATAAATGTCCCTGGGTTCCTAGAACTCGTGACTGTCAGCTGACTCTGTCCCTAGGCCCATGCAGAATGGCATGTGCCGAGGTCAAGCCTGCATTTACCAGCACTGTGCTTTGTACAAACAGGCTGAAGTCTTTGTGCCTCAACAAGGGAGGGGCTTAGCTTAGACACAGGTATCTGTTTAAGAGCAAATCTTTGAGTGGATGGAGAAATGCAAGCCTGTTACGGCCTAATTGCTCTGGCTCGAAAACGGCTGACACCTGCAGATTTGGAAAGAGTGTTTTGGAAATGACAGAGAGCAGACAAAAGTCCTGACTGCCAGGGAATGTGATCAAATTACTGCAGGGTAGAGGTGTGTGCGCCTGTGTGGGGATGGAGGAAGGCAGGAGGACCATAAGGGCTGACGTCAGAAGAGGATAAAGACTTTTTAAAATTGAGCTCCTAATAAGTTCTGGGCACTAGACTAAGTTCACTTCTATACTCTAAGTTTCACTCTTAATCCCCTGAGCCTGGTAGTTTTGTTCCCATTTGGCAGGTGAAGAAATTGAGGCTCAGGCAGATGAGCCATTTGCTTTCTCTAAAGTAGCTAGACCACCTCTGTCTGACCACCTCTGTCTGAGGTGGTCCATCCACCTCTGTCTGACCACACAGGGCATGCTCTCTACTCTGACCTGCCTCAGCTCGGCTGCCCCTGCCACAGGTAAAAAGACCAGGTGAGTGCATTCATCTCTCTATTCGTAGTAACTCTGTTGCCTGGGGTTTTCTGCCCATTACTGTTAGAGGATTAGCAGTTTTTTGGAGGAGGAGAGGAGTGTTAGATCCTCCTTTCCTAACTGATTTACCAGGGAGAAGGATAATTACTTCCAGGCTACCCTGCAGAAATACAGTGGGAATTACCAGTCAGATTTCTCCGATGAGCAGGCTGCCTTTGTCAAGCTGTTAAGAGGCATTGTGTGTGTGGTCAGGTGTTGGTTATTCCCGTGTCAGTCTCTCAATACAGCGGCATAACCCTGAGCAATCTTTGACACAATGGAAAACCTCTAAGCAAAACAAAACACAGACTCTTAAGATCTTGGACCCCTGCTTTCCTTCACCATGTCTCCTGAGATCGTTGGAGGGGTCAGGGAAAGTCAGCTCTAAGGTAGTACACTTTCAATTCACAGATATTAAAATCTCTTACACTAAAGCAAAGCAAAAAAAGAATGTGGAAAGATAATTTTAGGCTGTTAAACTATCTGTTAAGTGTCTAGCTCCGAGCAAAGTATTTTGGATGGGAGTTTCCG